AAAAAAAAAAAAGAACTGATATCCAAAATTAGAATTTAGAAATTGAAGATATCTCTAATGCCTCCTATATTGATAATGTCTTCAATCTTCATTCCTGAAGGAAGAATAATTAACATTTTTCATATTCAACAATTATAACCTCTAGAATATTGAATCTCTTTGTGGGGGAGGGGAGGAGTGTGGGCATAAGTGAGCTAGGATATACTACCAATTGTTAGTTCTATGCATAGAACTCTCAGACATAAGCTCATTACAGTTTGAAGACATTGTTCTAAACTATACTGTCTCCAATTCACTTGAGAAAGAAAACAAAGCGTAAGATTACAATTTACTATTAATGTACCAAGTTAGGTCCTGGGAAGTGGTCTGCTGATAGATCCCAGTTTGTACACATCTTTTAAAATACCTTAGCGGCAGGAAATTGATACCTGAGATGAGGAAACTTTGCCAAATGACTTTGGATTACTAGGAAGTATTTATTTTACTTTTTACAATAGGTCTTAGGGGCTCACCCAGTGTATGTGAGAACATTACTGGAATACCTCTGCTGAGTTCTTGGTCTTGGAAAATTGAACAGTGAATTCATGGACCACCACAAATAAGTGACAGGACAGATTTTGTCAATAGATAAGAGGGAGAACAAAGCCTCCTCATGAGAGGAGGCCCAAGCCGGGTGCTGATTTTGACTCTCTGTCTGGGGATTTATATGCAGCTTCTCTTTCCCTGGGGCCAGGGGTCTTGGGGACATGGAATATGCGTCTGAAACATGTCGCAACCATTGGCACCAGAGGCCTGTGGGTAGAAGTTAACTTTGAAACTGCTGTTGGGTAGGAATGTGATCTTGTTTGGGGCATTCTACTCCTTCCCATTCACAAAAAATTCCATAAAATGTAATACTGTTCATGACCTAGTATTTGGTAATATCAATTCTACTGGTGTCTAAATGTATCTGTGTCAAAAATTTCCACCAAAATACTTTCACCATGGGATTCATCATAAAATTCCATTACCTTTGGTGAAAACTTCTACATTTTGTTTTTTTCTATTGAAGTCAGAGACAGTGCTTGGGGGTAGGGATTACTGATGCTATGTGATGCATGGTTTGCAAAGAAGCAATCCAAGTACTGCTTCTTCATCTTCAAAATAAATCACCGTGCTCCTTTATTTTAATCTCTGTAAGTAAAAAAATAATAGTTAAAAGATTTTCAATAAAAGGAAAAATCATTACTCTTATTGATTAATTAATCATTACTCTTATTGACAAATATAAGAGAAATACATGGCAATGATTTTATTAATTATTTAGAGAATGGCAAGATATTAAATTATCTTAAAGGAGAATCCAAAGGGCAGACTTTCTTCCTCATTTTTCTTCTCCGTAGAATGATCTATAAAATATGCATTTCTTGTATCTGTTTTGGGAGAACTCAAGAAGGCCTGAGTCAGAAAACTTGTAGATTGTATTAAATATACTCACTGGGTTCATATAATTTGGGGAAGTGCATTTATAACCAATAATATACACAAAAAACAACAGATTTAGTAATTAGTTACCATATGTTAAGTTGTTTAAATGAATCAATATAGTTTTGTTACCATTTTCTTTTACTAGGTTCTTACCAGCATATGTTAAATAAGAGTAAGGCAAACTCTACCCAATGTTTCTGAAAGGAAAACTCGGAAGAGTTTAGAAGGTCAAATTAAATCTGAAAATAAACTCAACTCAGTGCACAGTGCTTTGGTTTTATGCTGAACAGTATGCCTCACAAAATTTTTTTTACTTTGTTAGACCTAATATTTTTAGACTTTGTTCATTAAATTTAATTCATACCTATTATCCTCATGGTCTCAAATATTATAAGTTTAATTAAAAACTTTTTGAGAGAATGTTTGGAGATACTCTCCTGTTTAACCTCTTTTATCTATTGTCTTTGTACCTCCCACCCATGTGGTAATTCCTTTATTTCTCTGCATAATCATTTTGAAAAGAATCAGTGAACATGTATGAGGGAGTATTGATTCAGCCTGTGCAAGACGCCACAGTTTCAGGCCTTTGGAACTAATCCTTGGTACCCTTCAGTCCTCCTTAGCTACATCCTGCAGTATCAGAGGCCCATCCCGCAGTAGAGGGCTAACACTGCGCTTCTCCCACAGAGCTGTTGCTGATATAAACAGTCAGTGCCTCAAAACATCCCAGAAATACCTGTGACCAAAAAAAAGCAAGGTCATTAGATGTATTATAGTTAGGTAGCTTAATAGTGTCTCTGAATGGGGAAGAAAAAAGAAGATATTCACAGAGTTTTAGGACCTGGGCTGTCTTTGGTGTGCTCAGACCTGGTAAAGTCAGGTTTTATATTAGGTCCTGATCATGAAAACTGCTTCTCATCCCTTAAAGTACATGTAATTGCAGTTTGGAGTTTTTCCCTCCATTTTTTTATTTTGTATATATCCTACCTTGAACAAGAAGGTTTAAAATAGCTTGGATCAGCAAAAACAAATTATATATATATATATATATAAATTTATATATTTCTATAAAGTTATATATTTATACGTAAATATATAAGTTTGCATAATTATATAAATTTGTACACTTTTATAAATTATATATGTATATATTTTTATAAATTTATGTATTTTCATATTTATATAAATCTTTATATATTTATATACAGGGATGCCAAAAAATGTATACTCATTTTAAGAAAGGAA